AAAACGCCTTACTATACATGGTCGTTTTTTTCGGCTAAAAACGCCTTACTATACATGGTCGTTTTTTTTTTGGCTAAAAACGCCTTAATCTACATGGTCGTTTTTTTCGGCTAAAAACGCCTGACTATACATAGTCGTTTTTTTCGGCTAAAAACGCCTGACGATATATGGTCGTTTTTTTCGGCTAAAAACGCCTGACTATACATGGTCGTTTTTTTCGGCTAAAAACGCCTTACTATACATGGTCGTTTTTTTCGGCTAAAAACGCCTTACTATACATGGTCGTTTTTTTCGGCTAAAAACGCCTTACTATACATGGTCGTTTTTTTCGGCTAAAAAAGCCTTACTATACATGGTCTTTTTTTTCGGCTAAAAACGCCTTACTATACATGGTCGTTTTTTTCGGCCAAAAACGCCTACCTATACATGGTCGTTTTTTTCGGCTAAAAAAGCCTTACTATACATGGTCTTTTTTTGTTTTTTTAGACAAAAAAACGACCATGTATAGTAAGGCGTTTTTAGCCGAAAAAAAACCGACCATGCATAGTAAGGTGTTTTGAGCCTAAAATCACGACCATGTATCGTCAGGCGTTTTTCGTCTTCCTTCGTTGATATGCTGGATTACTTGTACAGAGCGTTAAATGAGGTACCGCTTCGGGGGAAATGAGCATGGCACAACGTAGCTACCTGTGAAATGATGTTTATTCAGCAGTCCGTATAGAATAATAACAAACAACGTTTTGGCACAAAGTTGCTTCATGAGAACAAGCTTGTCTGTGTGTCCGTAAACTAAATAAATATGCAGAACCATAATTTACTTCCCAAATAAATATACAATATCAACTACAATAACAATGCACTGCCCGTTTTTCAAAACACAAAACCACACAAGATGGCGAAAGGTGATGTTTCACCGTTCGCGACAACGGCTGCTTTTTTTTTTCCTCCTCCCCGCGCTAAGGGCCAAACGGCCCCGTGACGGGTCTTTGGATGGCGTCGAGAAATTTTAGGGATGAGTGCAAACAACCAACGGTTTAAATTACCTCCAAAGCTCTGCTGTTGAAACGTCCGCAAATTGCATCCAGAAGGGTTGCAATCAGCCGGATACTTGAGATGTCTTTGTTTTCAATCCTCATCACAAGTCTTTTGGCAATGGTGCGCGGAAGTATAGTTAAAGTGTTTGGTTTGGGGTTACACGTTTTTTTTTTTTTGTTTTTTTTTAAAGACAGTTTGCTGGGTGTGACTCCAGCGCAGGGGTGGGGAAGCTTTTGTATGTACAAACCCCAGAGAATGTAAGAACCACATCCAACATCTCAAATGTTTGTATTATATAATAAAACATATTTCTTTGATTGTTGTATTCGTAGCTGGTCCTTGGGTAACTTCAGGGGGGGGGGGGGGTTGGTGGGGGGGGTTGTTATTGTTTGTCGAAGGATTCACAAGGACTTGTGGTACGGTTGTCGTGAGGGGTAAAGAATGCATTGAAATGGCCGCCTGCCATCCAGTATTGGAGGCTTAGATTTCAAATTTCAAAGGTGATATTGCAACTTTGGTTTCAAATACCAAATGTAAGGATTAAGGTTACGTCATGGTGTTCAGATTTGTGTGAAAGGGTTAGGGTTAAAAAAAAAAAGGGGCGGTTGGGTCTCGGGTTTCGATTCACCCTTTCAGGGACAGCGGTTACGACAGTGGACAACTTATGTTCTCGGGTTACAGGGTGCGTGAAAGGGTTCCAGTTTTAGGATAAAGATTGAGAGTTCATCTCATGCCAAGCCTGATTGAACTGTCGCACACTGTGCGGGCTTCTGCAACTAGTTTTCATGAATGGGCGACCATCGGCGGCTCGTTTTTCTGTGGCTGGAAATGAACGGTCAATCACAACAAACTCATAAGTACCTGTCAGGAAAAAAAAAAAAAAAAATCAGTTTTGCACTTAGAAACTGGATTTTGTTCATTCTAATCTCATCTACAGTCAAAGAGGAAAGTAGGATAAGAGTGGCATTTAGGAATTAGGTTGCGATTAGGACTGGAAAACATTGGAGAAAGAAAAATTTGAAAAAAGGTTCCCCATCCCTGCTTCGGAGAGCCGTTGCGTTTGTGTACGGAGGTGGAAGCGGAGCTTCAATAGTCATCTACACAAAAACAATAACATTGGAGTCAAATAGAATGCAGCTATAGAATTGATCAATAATCGACTTTGCTGTGGAATAACACTGCGGTCAGTAACACGCACGAAGCAAAGAAATAAAGCATACTTTTCCCCACGGCAGATATGCTCCAATCAGCTCCATAGTTAATTTAGGGCTTTAATTACACTTGTAAGGTGACTTAGCGTTCATGTTATGATTGGATATAATTCGGAGGGCTGTGCTTTGTGTGGGTCCGATGCAGACGCAATGGGAATATTCACACAAAATTCGACTTAATAAAAAAAAAAAAAAAAAACAAGGCAGAAACAATTCCAGACGACGCTTGTATGTGGCGGGACGGGAGAGGACGCACGGCGAACTGGCACAACAAAAACTAAAGCAAACACGGCCGCTTGGTGGAGGTGCGATCGACAAGTCTGGACAGCATCTTTCTTTCACTCTTGCTTTTTTTTTGTGTGTGTGTGTGTGTGTGTGTGTGTGTGTGTGTGTGTGTGTGTGTTATTCTTTTAATTGCTGCCAAGCGAATGAGTCATTCACTTGTAGCGAGGAGGCCCGAATTGTTTTAATTGTTTCTGCGGCACATTCCTTCGATGTCATCTGCACTCCAAATCCTCTTTTGCTCTTTCGCTCGATGGAAAGTGTCAAAAACACGGAGCTCGCTTGTACCAGCAAGTTGTTCTCTTGACAAGGACTCCCTTGTGCGTGCGCGTATCCAACATTCAAATAATATTTCGACTCTGTTGTGTTGCACATGCGCCTTTTGATATTGTTCAAAATCGATAGATAATTCCTCGACTTCAGAAATGAAATAGTTTGGGGACAGGAAATATGCGACGTTACTTTAAACCCAACTTCGGGTGATCCGGATATGGACTCAGAATGAATCGAGTGTTGCTCAGCTCAATAAATCAAATAATTTGAGTGGTGTACAACAAATACGTGACTTTGCCGTTGCTCGAATGAAGAACACTTCTTGAGGAATGAGCTGCGATGAGGAAAAATAGGACTTTTTTCCCGCACAACGCGACATGTGGTTTGGTTCAGGTTAGCATAAGCGCTGGTGCAATGATTAGCATTGACGAGCTACCGGGGCCCATCTTAGGAGAGTCGGATCATGACTTGGTTTGACCAAACATGAAATAATCCTGTTAGGTTTGTTAAGAAATTGGTTGAAAGTTGTGGAAGCCGAAAACCCAAAGCAGCAGTATTCCCGGTTAGCTTCTTGACGACTTTGAGTGAAAATGTGAATTGGAGCGAGCGCAGCCTTCTTGGATTGTTGATCTGTGTGAAAATGTCCAAAAAACAAAACTGTCTGCTGCCGATGTTTGTTGCGATAACGTGTTGCCCAATTTTGGTGGCAGTTTCGCACCCGCTCGGGGCTCATGTCGCCAAAGCTATTCGGGTTTGCGCTATTTGCGATTCGGGATGACTCGGGACGTTCGTCGTCGGGGGAATGACGACAATGCGTCACGTCGCGACATAGCTTGGACACCGTTGTTTACAGTGTTACTACACAGATAGAAAAAGCGAATACAAAAAACAAAAAAAAAAAATTGTGGATAGCAGTCACAGTCTGGCCGCTTGTCCCTTGAGCAGTTAGCTTCCTGAACGTAATCCTGATCTTGAGTTTGTATTCCGTAGTTTCCCCTGGTGAGAAGAGCTTAGAGCAGCGCGAAGAAGTGGGTGGGTCTTCCCCCGGGGGGCGGGGCTATACGCAGCCGCAGTTCTTGGCCGAAATGTTCTGTATGGTGTGGTAGCGGCTGCGATTGTCCAGGAAGGAGAAGTCCTTCTCGAAGGCGGTGGGCCGGCAGCAGGGGCCGACGCTCACCTTGTCCTTGCGATCCTTCTTGCGGAAGCCCGTCCTCATCATGTGCTCCATGGTGACGTCGTAGTTGCGCCTCTGCGCCGCGCACTTGCCGCTGCAGTAGCGCAGCATCACCGTCTCGTCGCTGTCGTAGCCCAGGCCCAGCTCGCTCACCGTCAGCTCCAGTTCCCTCACCGAGCACGGCTTGGCCCGCCGGGCTCTTTTAGTCCTTCGAGTCTGGCTGGGATCGCGCTTTTTCTGTCTCTTGCCGTCCAGCAAAGTCCCCACCACGTGCTGAAGCTCGCCTTTGGTGAAGCTCTGGAACATCATGGACACTGCGACAAAAGAGTTGAAAAGGATGTCAGAATTGTGCGCAAACGACAAGTGCTAGCAGGTTGAGTTTGGGTCGTTTGAGATGATGCTTTTCGGATGGCGTCGGGTGGAATGATGACGTTGGATTAGCTCCTAAAGTTTGGGGTTTGGGTTTGTCCTTGCTTGGCACAAAACTTGTCCTCAAGTATCCATCCATCCCTTTTCTGAACCGCTTTATCCTCACATGGGTCGCGGGGCGTGCTGGAGCCTATCCCAGTCGTCTTCGGGCGGTAGGCGGAGGGACACCCTGAACCAGTTGCCAGCGAATCGCACGGCACACAGAGACGAACAACCGTCCGCGCTCGCACTCACACCAAGGAACAATTTCGAGTGTTCAATCAGCCTGCCGGGCATGATTTTGGAATGTGGGAGGAAAGCGGAATACCCGGAGAAAAGCCACGCAGGCCTCGAGGAGAACATGCAAACTCCACACAGGGAGGCCGGAGCCGGAATCGAACCCACGACCTTTGCTCTGTGAGGTCGGCGGGCTAACCACCGGACCAAGCGGGCCGCCCTGTACTCAAGTAAGAGTTTTCTGAAGAATAACATGACGCAAGTCAAAGTAAAAAGTTGTCCTGCACAAATAATGACTTGAGTCAGCATTCACTGAAAAACTACCGAGTGACTGGTGATTGACATCACACCGATTTCATTTTTAATCGGTATGAACATCTAATCAACCGAAATATCAAATAGGAATGTGCAAATTCCAATCTTGAGCAACAATTTAATCCGACAAAATATATGAAGGTAAATTTTGCCGCAAGAAACGGTCCGACATCAACTTTGTTTCCATCAGTGAACCAGCACAATCGGCTCACCGGGCACAGATGACATTTTCTCAAGTTTTTGTTGGCTGGAGTCAACATGCAGACATTTTTAGGCAGACGAAGAAGACGGCGCGTGAGAGATTTTCATTTTCATTCTCATTGTCAGTAAGGTAGACGGAGACTGAATGTGAGGCAGGGGATCTTGCGCCTCTTCAGACTGCCAGCCGCGTGCAGAGGAAACCCGCCGTTGTTTGTGCTCCGCGTCACGTCAATAAGTCACTTTGACAAGTGTGCTTCTGTGTTGGACTGCGGAGACTTTGTGAGCAGTCGTGACTCGTGACTGTCTGTCAAACATCGCTAGCGGTTACCTTTGAATGGTGAAACAGAGTCATGTGACCCAAAAAAAAAATTGTTATCAAGTAACAAATATGGATTTGGTTCGGATTTGAGGCGGATCAGGTTTCGGGTTGGAGTTCGGCTTTTGAGGGTAAACGTTTGTGTTGTGTTTTAGGGTCGGGTCAGGGAATTAGCGCAAGGGTTTCGATTATCGCGAGACATTAAAACCTGCTCCAACGCGCTGCAGCGACTGCTTGTTGCGTGATGTCATTGTGGTATAGTTTTTACACGGTTGTGCGTTCTGGCAAGTGCGTTGGATTTGGATTCGGGGTGAGGGTGAGTTTGGGTCAGGGTTTGATCTCGGCGCAGGGGTGTCAAACTGCGGTCCTGGAGGGCCGCCGTCCCGCGCGTTTTCCAAGTGTCCCCGTTGGAACAAAGCTGATTCAAATGATCAGATCATCAGCAAGCTCTGCGGAAGCCTGACAGTGAACCTGTTCATTTGAATCAGGTGTGTTGCAACAGGGAGACTTGGAAAACATGCAGCAGGACCGCAGTTTGACACCCCCGATTCTAGGCTGTGGGGTCGTGTTTGTTTCGGGTTCAGGTGTTTGGAATTCCGCGCAAGGGTGATTGTCGCGGGTGACACGGCAACAGAGCGAGCGGTGAGCACATCCCTCGCACAGTTGTGAGCTTGGGGATTCAAATTTGCCCCGTGCCGGAGTGGCTTTTTTCCGGGTACTCCTGCATCCTCCCACATTGCAAAATCGGGTCACTTATGTCAATTAAAAACTCCAAAATTGTCCTTCGGTGTGAACTTGAGTGGAAATGGTTGTTTGTCCTCGAGGATTGGAATTCCGCGCAAGGGTGATTGTCGCGGGTGACACGGCAACAGAGCGAGCGGTGAGCACATCCCTCGCACAGTTGTGAGCTTGGGGATTCAAATTTGCCCCGTGCCGGAGTGGCTTTTTTCCGGGTACTCCTGCATCCTCCCACATTGCAAAATCGGGTCACTTATGTCAATTAAAAACTCCAAAATTGTCCTTCGGTGTGAACTTGAGTGGAAATGGTTGTTTGTCGCCCTGTGATTGGCTGGCGACCAGTCCGGGGGGGTCTACTAACCCATCTCTTGCCGAAAACTACGATGGTCAACCGCAACCCAAGTGAGGATAAACGGTCTAAAAAAAAAAAAATGGATGAATGGATCCTTAGTGTGAAGGATTCGGACCTCAAGTTTTGGTTGGGGCTTTTGGGCTTTATGCACCCGGTCGAACAAATTAGCAGTTAGCAGGATAATGATGATGATGACGATGACAAATGTGGGGTCTTACACTCCGAGAGTAGGGAGTTCATGTTGTCTGCTGAGCGCGTCCTCCGATGAAGAGCGCCGGCGAGGGTGGCCGCCGGCAAGGACGACGGACTTCCTGAGAATGACGGATGGCGCGAGGAGAACGACGAGGCTTGCTGTTTGCTCTTCGCTTTTGGCCGTCTGCTGGCGGCGGCGGTGGTGGCCGTGTTTCTAACGAGGATGAGCGACAGGGCTGCGCCACAGAGCACGAAGGCAAAAGTAGCACTTTTCCATAACTTCATCTTAGAGCGTGGAGGAGCATTGAGACGCTGGCAAGAGAAGAAGAAGAAAAAAAAGAGACAAACGTCACTCTGGCTCTGAGGAATGCAACAATAGGCTTTACAGAACCCCGATGTGTGCTTGTTCATTTTTCTAAATGAGGTTAGTGTTGATCTTTGGGCTGGCTAAAGGGTAAGAATTCGCTTTTGGGTTTGAGCGGACTTCGGGTTGGTCTCTGGGTTGTGGGTAAGGCTTGGTGTCGAGGCAGAGTGAGGGTTGGTCTTGATGGCAAGTTGGCGGGAAGGTTTGGGGTTCAGCGCTTTGTGGCGTTTGGCTTTTGATCGGGGTTGATTTGACGGTGTGCTTTTGGGTAGAGTAACACTTGGCTGAGTGTTGTATCGAGTCTCATGAGCACCAATGTTTGCATATCGGTAGCACGAGGGTTACGCTTTGGTCCCATAATTCCTCTTCTTCTTCCCGGTTTCCTTCTCCCTCTCACCCGGTGAATGCGGCGGGAGCGTTTCCCAACATTTCAGTCATGCTCAAGTAGCGGGAGGAGTTAAAAAAAAAAGGAAGGGTGAGGAAGCTTGCTTGAATGTGTCGTAAACCTTTCAGACATGCAGAAAAGCGATTTTTTTTCCCCCTTCTTAATCTTTTACTCACTGTCCAATAAAAAATGTGCTTTCAACCAAAACCGTTTCAATCTTGCTTGAGCCCGCCTTTCACAATCGCCACTCTGCTTTTTCTTTTTCCTGCACTTATGGCTTCGCATTTTTCTTATCATGTCACTTGTGAAGAAAAGAAAAAAAAAAAAAAAGGAAAAAATCATTTCCTTCAAGCCAGAAATAAGTAACTGTCTGTCAGTGTCTAACAGCAAATCCAGACTGGCTCTTAAGTGTTTTGCCAGACTAGATTGTGTTCACACATGTCGTAGTAGCGCACACTAACACATCCAGTATGGACGTACAGAAGGTTGCCATGAAAGCAACAGTCTATAAATAATGCGATGCCCTATGAATCATGCTAATGCTACATTGGTGTGTTACAAGGAGAATCGTATCGCTATCATTTCCTCAGTGACCGAGGATCATCTAGTTTTTTTTTTTTTTTTTTTTGGGCGGTCTGCGGACCAGCCAGGACACCTCATCTTGTGTTAGCGCTAGTACGGAGGTCAATCGAGCAAAATGCTAAAAAAAAAAAAAAAAGTGCATAATTTTTATGATTCATTAGCTTAGCTCCAAGCGCTAAAGTAAAATAATGGAATGTCACGTGACTAAACCGAAAAAAATCACGTTGGCAGCCGTAAAGTAATCACATAATTAAATACAATGTAAAATTGTGACTCTTGATGCTAACTGCTAGCACGTCAAGGGGATTTTGCATTGTTTTTTTTTTTTGTTTTTTTTTTAGCATAACGCAAAGAGGGCCTTCATTGACGCGGCTCTGGTTGTTTGAAATACACAAAGTGTAATTCTATTTGTTTTTATATGTCTCCACTGAATGATGCCTCATATGTTGAAAATTCCTCGCCTCGCTTGTATCTCAAGGCACCATTTTGTATTTTGGTCGCCTTACTTGCTTACTTCTAACTCCGAGTGTTGCGCAACGCATTTGGACAAGGCTAACCCGAGAGCAGGTGTAGCTAAAGCCGTCGTCTCCGGAACGAGCGTTGACAGACGACGACAAAGATGAGAACCGCCACCGGCAGGATGAGGAAGGAAGAGGAAGGAAGAGAGACCCGGGGAGGAGAAGGAGAGGAAGCAGCAGGAAAAGTCATCGGCAAACAAAAATAAAAGAGGCCGACGAGGCCCTTGAAACAAAACAAATGGGGAGAAAAAGAGCCCGTTTTGTGTGCGCGTTGGGGCGGAGAGGAACATGCGTGCGCAGCCGCTGACGGTCTCCGAGGATCGCTTAGCGTGTTTGAGGCTGACCGTATAAAGCTCAGCCAAGAATGATCAGAATGCTCATACCATCCTCGTCCCCGTTAGTTTAATACAAACATCAAACAAACGAAACCAACAATTTTTCTGCACTTTTTCCACAAAGAGTTCAAAAGCAAGCCGATGGACATTAAAGTAATGACATCCGGCCAGCAGAGGAACATCACACCCGCCGCAGGGCAAAGGGCAGATTGCCATCCAGAGACAGCAGAGATATTTGGGTCCAAAATAAGCCAAAGCGGGTGAAAATGGGTGAGACGCAAGCTTCATTGGAGGCAACTTTTTGATCCAACCTACAAAACAAGCCACTTTGTGTTTGGAGTAAGCACAACAATTTGAGATTTGTCATATTAATTCAATTTATTTGAAAACCTGGACGACACAAATTGTGGGCAATGCAGTCAAGACAAGTCAGGCCTTTCTCCATCCTGTGGCGGGCGTCCGCTCGGTCACTTCCAAACGCAGCAAAACTTGAAATGAGCATTCGAATAAATCCAAATCATGTGATGGATTTTTTTATCTGTATTTTGGCTCCGCGACCGCATCTCTCTGCGCTCACACGCGACTTCCGGGGGCCGTCTTTTTCTTTTGCCATTTTACCGCCTTTCATGAACGCGCGAGAGGCGTTGAGGGCGCCGTGAAAACAGGGACTCTTTCAACTGGCCTCCAACCGCTCAAAGATGCCATTATCTTGGGTGTACAATAAATGGGGGGTTAATTGGGCAAGTGCCGAACCGCCTGGAGGAAGATGAGGCACCGATGTGACACCAAGACACTTTTGAAGGTCGGGTATGAAGCGTCTCTTTGTGCGGAGGAGATAGCGGCTTTTTTTTTTTTTTTAATTTTACGACGGCGACCTCCCCCGGGTCATGTGACGTGCCACAAGGTCAGACGCCGCACGCTCTCCGTCTCATAACACCTGATAATCCACTTACATAACGGCTCTTGATATGAGACCCGCTGAAGCGTCGGGTTTGAACGCGCCGCGCACTTCAGCCCGTAAGCAAGATGCAGAAGGGTGCGTTAGCGGCGTAAATAAGACGGTAGATTGGGCACCTACTGTGTGTCGTCGTGTGTAATGGGGGGGGGGGGGGGACGCGGGGTTTCATTTGGAGTCAGCGGCAGGTGGGCCGGGAGCCGAGTGCTCACAGAGGTAACAGGGACATATTCCAAAGATCAGGGCGGGATTAGCACTAATGCCTGCAGTCGGCTTTATCTGCCGTCACGTGGGTGAACACCTGGCCGCAGGGGGGGGGCGGGCCTTTCCTTTATATACACTTTGTGTGTGTGCGCGCGTGTGTGTGCGCTAATCCAGCAGACAGTTTCAACTCAGCGGTCGAACAGAAACACCTTCCTCACGAGACCTTTGCTTTATTCAGGAGTTGCTCTCAAATATAACGGCTGTTCTAAAAAAAAAAAAAAACGGGCGCTGAAACGAAAGCTTAATTGGGAGGCGCTTAGATGGGTCTGGAGCAGCTCACTTTGCTGCATCACCATTTGTGACGGATTCAATCTTTTAACTTCCCCAAAATCGGATTTCTCACCTTTCTAAAAATACATTTTGAAGTCAGGGAAACGAGGAAGCGAGCACCTCGATAGGTCTGAATAGGTGTTGTACTGTTAGGAAGTTTACTTTCTAAATTCAAGCTCCTCGATGGGTCGAGAGAACGAACAAACAAGCACCTCGCCGGATCGGGAGGCGGTCACTTTAGTACATCACCATTGACGAATGATTCAACCTTCTCACCGTGCAGAAACATGCTTTGAGTCAACGGGTCTGGAGCAGCACCACTACTTGCAAAAGACTCAACCGTCTAACCTCCCAAAAATGTGGCGCTTCACTGCCCTGCAAGATTCTTAATGATCATAAAAAAACGAGGACGTGCGCACACTGACAGGTCTCGAGTTTCACTTTAGTACCTCACCATTTGTGATTTTTTTTTTTTTTAAACCTCCCCAAAAAGGCTTCTCACATTCACACGTGACTTTTTAAGTCTGGAGAACAAAGGAGTGAGCGCCTCGATGGGTCTGACAAATGGAAGAAGCAAGCACCTCAAGGCGCTCTGGAGTCACATTTGATTTCATTGGATTCCAACTTTCTGACCTCACAAAAGGTGTCGCACGAGAGTTTCCTTTTCAAGTTTGGAGAACAAGGAAGTGGGCACCTCGACGGGTCTGAGGAAAAGGATGTAATTATCTTGAGTTTGGGGCCAAAACACTATTTGCAACACAAGTCTACTTTCTTACCTATGAAAAAAGTTGTTTGCTTTCGCCCCCGCCCCCTTTCCTAATCGACTTTTCTTCTCAAGTCTGAAGAGCAACGAAGTGAATACCTCAACGGGTCTGCATCAGCTCACCTTGTAGCATCTCAACATTTTTCATCACCGACTTTCTACAACGCGGCAGCAAGTCAGTATAACCTCGCCTTTGCACAGGATTTTCCTCGTCAGGAGAATGGGCAAGTGAGTGCCTCAACGGGTCTGGAGCCAACCACTTTGGCGCCGAGGTTGAGGCCCTCGAGGATGGAATCATCTTGAGTTTGGGGCCAAAACATTATTTGCAACACAAGTCGACTTTCTTACCTATGAAAAAAGTTGTTTGCTTTCGCGAGGCCCTCAAATAAAGGGGATATTACGGGGCTGGATTGGCTGTTCTAAATGAAGGCGAGCGCTTGAGTCAGCGAGATCTTTCGAGCGCCTGCCGGCGCTTGTTAGCGAAAGTTCCACACGAACGAGGGCAAATGTTGCTTTTGTTGCAAAACCGACGTGGAAAAGTGCTTCCGCGGACTGATTCACGTCAGATCGGCCCGTCGCGTTGAACGGCGCTCACAAATACGTGCAAGCACAGGCAAGTGCGAGTGGAGAAAACACGATTCTTTGTACAGGACTTTCCTCGTCACGAGAATGGGCAAGTGAGTGCCTCGACGGGTCTGGAGCCAACCACTTTGGCGCCGAGGTTGAGGCCCTCAAATAAAGGGGATATTACGGGGCTGGATTGGCTGTTCTAAATGAAGGCGAGTGCTTGAGTCAGCGAGATCTTTCGAGCGGAGATCTTTCGAGCGCCTGCCGGCGCTTGTTAGCGAAAGTTCCACACGAACGAGGGCAAATGTTGCTTTTGTTGCAAAACCGACGTGGAAAAGTGCTTCCGCGGACTGATTCACGTCAGATCGGCCCGTCGCGTTGAACGGCGCTCACAAATACGTGCAAGCACAGGCAAGTGCGAGTGGAGAAAACACGATGACATTTTTGCCTGCATGGTAGCTAAAAAAACACACACGAAAAAAAAAAAAAAACAACGCGGTGCTCCGAAGGTCGAAGCGAGGAAGCTTTCTCTGCCTCCCTCCACTCTTTCTCACACTTGAACTTGTCAGACGTGTGATTCACTGCAGGGAGGGATGAGGCGTCGTCATTCGTGGTGAATGACTGCGATGACGTTCCGTGAAAACCCGATTTCAAAAGAGCGGTAAATGGAATGCACTTATTTGATGATGACTTTAACTTGGCTGCTTTCTTTTACGTGAGCTTGATTTCATATTTTCAATTATAGATGAACTAGATTTGATTTTTTTAAAAAAAACAGAAAAAAAAAATATATATAGCTTTTTTTTTACACACACACACACACACACACACACACACACACACACACACACGCACACACACACACACTGTGGTATTTATGGGCTTGAGTTTTTTTTTTTTTTAATTTTCAAGATTCTTTTTTTATGCCCTAAATGCTTATCGTAATTTAATAACAAAATCAGAAATAATTCAATTTTTAAAAACATGATTTGGATTGCACTGTATTCATTCATGGGTTTATTCATCAGCCCATCATGCGAATAATTTGTATTTATTTTTTTAAAGGGTTGAAACAACGATGTGTGACATTATTTCATATGAATCATCTAAGTTTATTTTTCAACAATTCAACACATTTTTGCATTCTTTGGCTTTTGGCTCGGCATGAGACTTGATTTTTAGTTTGGCTGTTTTTTGGGCTTTCTACTGTTTTCGTGATTAATTTATTGTTGGTTGTTGTAGGAAATTTTTTTTGGTCCAAATGCTGCACTTTGTATATCGCGGTGGTTGTTTTAAAATGCTCTTTAAATAAGTTGAGTTGAGCTGAGAATAAACTTCAAGCTTGAATAAATGTCATTCAAATTTTTTTTAACTGAAGTAAATAAATTTCTTTTAAAATATTTTAGGAAACAATATTGATTGATATGTTTCGAGCCATAATTTTGTTTTGTTTTTTTCTCATATATTCTATTGATATTGGTCCTCTTTTTGCACAAGATCCCCGAATCCAACAGTTCGTATGACATTTGACATGATTTTCAGCATTTTTCTTCACCGAAGCGGGAGGGAGATGTCACGTGGTTCTGCCGCTTGCACGCACGCACGCACACATGCCGTGGACCAAAAATGGTTTTCACGCTAACGAGCTAAACGTGACGACGAGGGGCCAAAAACTGTCTTCAAAATGCGAGTGGGATGCAAGAGAAGAGAATTGCGTCACAAGCGTTCCGTGACAAGTGGCGGCCCTCGCGTGGAGGTTTCCGACCACCATTGGAATTAATCCCGGCGTGCACTCGGCCGCGCCGGGGCGCAACACCTAAACGCCTCGGCCATAAGCTCGGCCGGCTTAAAGCCGACAAAAGGAGATATGTGGCGTTCTTACCGTTCGGGCCGACTAATCCAGATTTAGCTGCGTGGCGTTTTGTCTCGGGCTGACCTCCACCGGGAAAGTCCATCACCGTGTTGACGGGTGAAAAACGCGCATCCCGACGCGGCTGCACCCTCCGGAGAGGGAGTTGTCCGGACTTGATTCAGGCCCTTTGAGTGTCTTTTTCTTTTTCTTTTGAAATCACTCGCGCTCCTTCACGGGAAAGATCCAAACGCGCGTTCGTGGGACTTTCATAGCACTCTGAGCGGATCCGCGCGGGAAGAAAAAGTTTGGAAGGTGGTGGGCATCAGCATCTCGTCCGCAGCTGTGAGATGGTGGAAGTTGGGCGCCGAGCGTCTCCGCCTGCCTTTGCTCGGCACCCCCCCCCTCCCCGACCGCTCCAACTGTTGCTCCTCCTCCTCCTCGGATTACCCCCGACATGATAATCTCCCTCGGGGCCGCGGCTCCTGAAGGATGCTTTGGCCCGGCGCGTACGAGGGCTTTACGCTCACCTTCTGCTCGGCGAGAGAGTCGGGCTGGGGGGCAGGGGGGGCTGGCGGGGTCCGCCGCAATCTTTTAAGGGGAATTAGGAAAGTTCGCAATGGGTTTTAACGCCACTAAGACGATCTTAAACCCACTTAGATGAAATTATCACAGCGGAGGCATTCCGTGATAATGGAATCTGCCGATGAAAGCGCCTCAAAGGGTAGCGTTTTTTTTTTTGGGGGGGGGGGGCGCAGATGGTGAGGTGTTTTGGTGGACGGCCGTAAGAAAATAAACAGCGCCAAAGAAGATCGGCAAACAGGTGGGTAGGGAAGCCGATAATCAACAATCTCCATGTCATCTAAACATTTGTGATGTGCCGCCAGACTGCCCGACTACTCACCTTGCGTGGCCTCCTGCCAAGTCGTCAACTTCCAGGGATATCGGCGGAATCGGGGTTTTGGAACTTCTCTCGAGCCTTGACGAAATTTGTCCCCTCACCTAAGGAGAACAATGAGGTCAACGCATTAGACGGGTCTGGAGTCGCTCGCTTACGTTATACGTATCACAAGCGGTTCAGATTATGGATGGATGCATGAACAATTTGTTACCTGCTCAGCTTCCGATGAGACTTTTGTTTTCACGTCAGCTGAAGAAAGGGGGGGGGGGG